TGGATTTCAACTCCCAGAATTCCCCAGCCCACCCATCTTAAAGTTGCCAAGGTTGAGAAACACTGGACTAGATAGTTGTTTTCTCTGTATAGGTTAAGTTTCTTCTATGGTTTCCTTTTAAAAAATGCTAAATTCCCTCTAATAAACATCTAAATTCCCTCTAATAAACATTCAGAAATTATACATTCATACCTTCAGATTACAAATAATAAGAACATACTTCTCTCTCCCGACGGAAGGGCACCCTGATTCTAGGTACTGTTCAAAGCTGTTCATAGCTGCTTTCACGTCATTTTTTCCCTTTTCCTGAATGAGATATGAGTCCTGGATGTCTACTTCCAAGTTGGGTGATAAATACCAGGGTCAGCACAGAACGTCGGAAAGAAGTGCCAGAAAGGAGAAAGAAGGGGTCCCCATTAGCATCATAACAGCATGGAGAACAGAGGTTCCAAAGATCTGGACAGGAATGGAAATGTTGGTGGTGACCTTCAAGAGAGATTAAAGGCCTTCAACGCTGAGTTCACCCTCTGTGTGAGGCTTCCTCAAGTAGACATCTTCCAGATGCTTTGGGAGTGCAATTTGCAGAAGTCCTTGCTTGGCTAGAGATGATGGGAACTGCATTCTAACTACTTGGGAGCAACATATGCTTCATAGTGTTTTCTCCGCTACTAGATCTCTCCCAAGAGAATAAAGGGGCACTGGGGATTTTCTAATGCACCTTAATGCACTCAGGGGGATTCAGAAAGTGCCTGGCTTGGCCCCATCTCTAAGCTGATTAAAGGGTAGAATATAGAGGGGAACATTGACTAGTCTGACCTATGTATTATTTTGGGAGCTGAACAAGAAACCCTAATAAATAGAGGAGGATCTAATATGCCAGAAGTTTATTGAAGATGGAGACTTCTAGGCCCTTGAGAGTTGGACAGTGAATTATTTATTTGGTGTGGTTAATATCTGCCTTTGCTGAAAGCACAAAATAATCTGTATCTAAAAAAATTCTTTCCAATGAAACTCGACTCCTATTTGGAGTTTCCTTGGCAACAGCATGGCAGTGATTTCCCTTTTTCTTCTTCCCAGATGATTATTTGACTTCTCAGTCTAACCCATAACCCTCAGATTTTCTGGCAATCTCTCCTCCAAATCCTAAATAGCCCTGACCCTGCTTAGCATTTTTGAAATTAGGCAAGACCAGCTGGGTGTTGCCACCTGCTACGATGAAAAAAAATGCAACATAAACGTTCAGAAATACCCCCGAAAAAAAGATTTTAAAAAATGAAGGATTAACACAACAAAATGAAAACACATTCAAACATACAGATTGTATATCAATGTGGCTAAAAGCAGATGCCCCATTGTGAAAAGCTATGCCTGGAAGGCAACAAGGTGTTAGTGCAGGTTTTTCAACATAGCCTTAACATGTACATTCAATGGGGAAAATCATGAACATTTAGCCCAGGCCCATCTGCGGGGGGTGGGGGTGTGTGTCAAAAAGTCAAGATAGCATCCAAGATGACATCATTTATTTTATTTTATTTTTAAAAATATTTTATTGGTGAAATATAGCAACCAGAAGGTATGATGAAGTAAAACCAAAAATATAACAGTGCTACTAAAATCAGAAGAGAATATACAGAATGGTGATTAAATTAGTGACATTTGAAGAAACTAAAAATATATCTATAAAGTGTTAATATAGAACTAGCCCAATCCTTTAACCTCTTGTTAAATCTAGCCTTATAAACCATCTATAGATGGATCTATTGCTCCATCTTCTCAGTTTGGTACAATATGTTCTTTCAATACAATGATATTTATATAATATACTTGGATTCTTAATATTCTACCATTTAGGTGCCTCTGAGTATTGAATAGGGATAAGAGAAAGAAAAAGTAGATCTTCTATCAATATTAATTTCATCATTGAAGCCTGCCCTTTTGTACATGTATGTTTTACACATGTACAAAACGGGTGGGGTTTGATCGCATGGTCACAGACACCATCTTGACTTTTGTGACACACACGTGCACACTCAGACCCAGGCACAGACACACACACCCACACCCACCCCTACCATGGACATCCCTGTTTCACCACTCCACCCATTGCTCCAACCAAAAATGAGCTACAAAGGTGCTTTCCCGTTCATAAAAGAGAAAATACCTGTTTCGTCTGGAAATGAGAACCATATTGGACTGAGGGCTGGAAGAGAAGGATCAGAATTAGGAATATGGAAATTACTAAGTCAAACCATGAATTTAACCAACCATCACGGAAGCACGCTCAGCCACCCACTGCAGTTCTTAGGCACAACCCTTGCAAGGGGAGCGGCACCCCAACTCCTCCTCCTTAGCCCACCAAGATGTCTCTACCTGATGCAGAGTTCACAAAAGTCAAGCAGGCAAAAAAGCAAAGGCACACTCGGGAATCCATTGCTGCATCACGTAGCACACTCCAAACAGCTGTGAAAAAGAAAAAGAACCAAGATAAAGTTAGGTTTGGGGCATGTTTCTGGCTCTGAACGCTGATAGAACATTGATTGACTGACTGATTGATCTGAGTTTATTATAGCCACCCAGCTCCAATGGACTCCATAAGACACGTTCACGTAACATGTTGTCCCCGTAGCTCAACATGCAAATTCAGTGGGAGAATCAGTAGGGAAAGTGCGTCTGCAGGGGAGTTCAGAAAAGTCAAGAAGGCATCCGCAACCATGCAATCAAAGTCTCATGCTTTTTTGACATGCATTCTAGACTCCCAAAGTTCAACCCAAAGAAATAAGCTATATTTTGCTCATTTATACATCCTCAAATCCATAAAAACAGATACAACAAAACCACACAGGCAGCCCAGACTAAAGTGATCTTAAAAATAGCACAAATCAAAAAAACAGGGCCCCCCAAAATACAATAATACACTCATGCATCAACCCTAGGCCTGCCTGGGGCCAACCCAGGCTTTAAGAGTTTTCTGGTACCCCAGGAGAACAGGTGCCGTCCGTATCTCTGTGGGGAGCCTGCTTCGGAGGGCGGGACGGGCAGCGAAGGGCACGCTTCCTCGGCCTCACCAGATGACAGCCTTTACAGAAGAGACGTGGAGTGCACCCACTCTGCCCGGATGTGCTGGAGGTGGGGGGCAGAAACAATTTCCTTCCTGCTGCAGAAGCAGGATATGCAAATGATCTGAGCATGTTTACTTGCCATTAGAAGAGCTCTTTGTAGAGTTGCCTCCTACAGTCAACTTAAGCTTAAGCTCAGGTTAGCAAAACATAATTGCTGCATTCGCATAACAAGTGGTCCCTGCAGCTTAACATGTAAATTCAGTGGGAGAAATAGTAGGGAAAGAATGTTTAGCCCAAGGGCACCTGCAGGGCAGGTCAAAAAAGTCAAGGTGCCGTCCACAACCATGCAATCAAAGCCCCACCTTTTTTGACATGCATTCTAGACTCCCAAGGTTAACCTCAAAGAAATCAGCCACATTCTGCTTATTGATACATTATTTATAATAATATAAATAATTATTTTTAAAATAACTATAAATAATGCTTATCGAAGCTCTGATTCAACAAGACTGCTGGGCCTCACAGGACAGTCTGCTTCTTGGATACTCATCCTCCCTCTTTATTGGTTTGAGGAGGACTCTTGAGACCAGCTATGACGGTGCCATCCAGACATGCTGGACTACGACACCCATCACCCAGGCCCCTGCTGGAACACAATGAAGGGGGTTTGTAGTCCACACACTTCAGGGGGAAACAGGTTGGGGCCAGTTGGAATAACCAATATGGTCTGTTATGTGAATTCACAGCTAATGGAATATCAGTTGCTCTTCTTGCATGATTTACAGTTTTTTATGTGTAATTGTTTCTATGTATTTATTCTTTTAATTGTTGTATGCCGCCCAGAGTCACCTTCTGTGAGATGGGTGGCTATATAAATATGATAAATAAATACATAAAAATAAATTGTAGGTTGATGTTTCAAACTTTATTTTACATTAAGCTAGAATAATGACATCTTTGGAATTCCCCAACTTTCACTGAGATGCAGCATAACCACAATGAGGAAGAGGACTTCCAGTTTCCTGTTTTTGAGATACTACAAAGCATCTTCGCTCTAAACCTGAAGTCTTTTTCTCTTCTTCCTTCCTTTGCAATCTTGCTTACTTTACAAAAGTTCGCCATCCTTCCCAACTGGAGCTCCTTTTTTTTTTTTTTTT